CCTTGCCTTCTAGCTCTTAGATTTAATTTTCCCTTGATGCCCTCAGGAGGGAAAGAAATCACGGGCTCTTCTGCTGTGCTTTTCTCCTCTAGCTGTGTTCTTTTGGTGCATCTGCTGAGATCTGAGTCCCTGACTGGGGCAGCAACCTCTCAGGACTATTCACTCCCTAACAAGGTGGCCAGGGGGCCTGATGCTCTCCATGGGGGGACCCCGTCTATTCCCCTGCTCTTGGCCAGAGTTGGGAGTGGCCATGCTACTTGTTTGGCTGACTCAGCATTTTCTAGGATGGATTATATCCCTTTCCCTTCATTTACTCCACCCTAGGATTCCCAGAATAAAAACTTCTCTTGGGCCTCCCTGTTAGCGCAGGCAGTTGACCGCAGCCTCTATTGTGCCGGACCTCTCCTACCTCGTCCGCTGCTCCCCTCAGCAGTGTATTTCGTCAGTCTGCCTGTTCTGTTCCCTGCTCTGTCTCTGGTGAATCCTCTCACCCTCCTGCACATCTGGCCTGTACCCTAAATAAAATAAATCTTAAAAAAAACACTTTTCTTGCTGGCCTATTATGAGTACTTGCTATGTGCCAAAGGTGCTGTGTTATGCCATCCTGATGCAGTGGGAGCTACTACTACCAAGCACAAAAGCCACATCCAAGGCTACCCAGCAAATGGGTTACAAAGTTGTGATTTGAACGTAGTGGGTCTTTGAACGTAGTGGGTCTTTCTTAATGCTGGGCTGCCCTCTGTGCCTCCATAAAAACCTCTGTGCAAAGCACTGAGCTTCTAAGTAGGAAAAGGTGCTGCGATACTTCTTTTGGGAGCATTTGTACCTGCTCTTGACCTTGGCGGATGGAAGATCCTAATCCACTTCAGTTGCCCAAACTTTTTGCTGGTTGACCTTTTTGCTGTTGTGCCTCACCACTGTCCTGGGAGGGTCTAAGTAGCCATGGGACTGGCCCATGGTCACACAGCTGGAGAGGAGCTGGCACATCTTTAGGGTGTTTCTATCACCCAACCCAGCTTTTGTAATATCAAAACATTGGAAAAAATTTGTGATCCTGCTTGGCAGTGAGATTTTTTTTAGGGGGTAAAAATGGAGTTTGAAGTTTGCTGCAAAGGTAGCCTGCCCTAGCTTGATACATCTGTTTTCTATTCCTGCCCTGTTGCTACATGATAAACCACCCTGAAACTCAGTGATTGAGCCTGTTACCACTGATTATCTCATGAATCTGTGGTTAGTAGTTTAGGCTTGGTTCAGTTGGATGGTTCTTCTGTTCTCAGCTGAGCTCACTCCTGCATCTGTGATCAGCTTCTGGGTTGGCTGACTGATCTAGGATGGCTTCAGCTGGGAGGGCTCATCTCTCTTCCGTCTTTTGTTCTCCAGCAACCTGGATTTGTGCATGTGACTGGGCAGGGTGCCAGGAGAGCAAGTATGCATAGCTGTTAAAGTCTAGGCTGGGATTGAAACTGTGCCACCTTCACATTCTGAAGGCCAATTCACAGGGCCAGGCCACACTGGAGAGGAGGGCAAACAGACTGCACCTCTTGATGGAAGATGCTGCAAAGTCAAATTGAGAAGGACCTGGATGCTACTTTATACTTGCCAGGTGCTTTATATACATCGTCATATATCTTACAAGAACCTTTATTAGCAACACTCTTATACATCCTGTTTTACAGAAGAAGAAAGTCAAAGTTCAGAATGGTTAAGAAACTTGTCCAGGGTCACACAGCTCTGCAGTGGTAGAGGCAGAATTTGAACCCTGTCTTAACCCTGTGCTGCTTAGGTTTTACCACTTTGAATAACTTGTCCTTAAGGCTTAGAATTCAGGTATAACCCTTAAAAATCTGTATCCACTGCTTTAGCACTTGAAACCTCAATTTTCCCAAACATAAAAAGAGGTGATTCAGTGGCCTTTCATGTTTCACGGTTCGGATTGGTAGCCTGATGCTAGGGGCTGTCTTTCCTCTGGGAACACAGGGCTCAGTGTGGTCAGAGGGGCCTTTTCTGGCTCTGCCTCTCCCTCAAGTCTTGCCTGTTTCTTGCCCAGGATGGGGTGTGGATGTAGACTCCTGGGGTTTCCCTGCGTGTGGCAGACACAATGATTGAATTTGACTCATGTAACTGAAATGTGGGTCCCTGGGGGAAGCTTTGGCTTTGGGATGAAATGCATGAAAAGAAACCTAATGGGTTTAAGGTTTTAAATCCCCAGTTGCTCTCCTGGATCTGGCTGTAATTTTGCCCTGTGGAATCTCTACTGTGGCATTTGTGGGGAGGGAGAGAAGAGCTTTTGAGATGTTCTCTGTTCCCAGCTTTCCCAAGGGAGGTAGCTGTGGCTTAACCCCGTGCGCCCTGCTCTCTAGAGGTTTGACCTGCCCTTGGCTTTCAGGGTATGAGGGATGGGTTCAAAGCTGGTGGGGCAGCCAGATGGAGCTGTTTTTGCCAGCTTGACCACACACAGGTCAGTCATGGAGGTTCTTGTTCTGGAAAACAGAGGGCATCTCGACAGTCACAGTAAGAGGATCTGGAGAGACTGGAAAGACCATGCCCTAGGGCCTGGACAACTGCGTTCAAATCCCACCACCACGGGGTAATGTGCACACTTGATGCTGCCTGCTGGGCTTGCCTTGAGCAAGAGATCAGACAATCTATGAGCATAACTGCTGGCAGGTGATGGGCCCACATTTCCAATGAGGTGAACCTCTGTGCAACACCATGCCAGCAGTGTGAACACTTCAGACAGGTGGATGAATAACAAGGAGGAGGAGAAAACCTCCTTTCTATTCCAAACCAGTCTGTCCAATGGTGTGATAGAACTTCGGAAGCCAAGTTCTAAGCTGAGAGCCTTGAAAAACTGGGCTTTTTCAAGCAAAGTCACAGTGTGAGGGCTGTCCCAGGGCATGGGAGAGGCACAAAATACCTTTCCCATCTCTCTGGCTGACTTGGGGTGGGCAGAGTAGGGGAGTGGGTGCTTCACTTGATGGAGGGGTATGTGCTGCAGCTTGGCCCTATTACCACGCTTTATGGGCTTGGGCTAGTGCCATGACCTTCTCTGGCCACCCATAAAATGCGGATCCTCCTGCCAGGTTGCTGTGATGATTGAACACGAGTCTGTCCAACAAGAGCATGGCCCACCACCTATGCTACCCTAGTTCCCCTTACCACCCACTGTCCTTATAGTTTGAAATCCAGAATTCTGAATTGAGAGGGCTCTAAAAGGTCTTCAAGGTTGATGTGCAACTTTACGTGGGGATAGGCTAGGGAGGAGATTCCCTCTCAAGGGTCTTCTGCCTATACTGGCTCCAAATGCACGTGCTTATTGGCATTTAGTGTGGGTGGTTCTATGGCACATCAGCTGGGGAGCTTGTGTAAATGCATGTTCTGATTTAGTGGCCTGGACATGGGGCCCGAGATGGCCTTTTGATTGGGCTCCCAGAAGTTGTCCATGCTGCTGGTCTCAGGACCACCCCGAAGCAGCCAGCAAAGGCAAGAATGGGTCTGATGATTTATGAATCGCAGCCTGTTGGTGGAGACACTCAATTCATTTTCTATGGCAACTGTAGAGAGCAGAGGAAACTTCCTTATCGCCTTGTCCGGAATGCTAGGGGAGATTTTGGAGGATGTTGGAAGTGGGTGGGACGTCTCTGTAATTCAGAATAATGAGGGAAAAAGCAGATGGCATCTTTTCAGTGGCTTGCCCTGATATCTGGGCCATCACACTCTTTATCTCCTGGAATCAACCTGGCTAACAGCCAGCTGAAATAACTTCAGAAGAGACCAGCTCATCAGCCGGCCTGCAGCAGCAGTCTTGCTGGCCAGTGGCCTAGGTAAAGAGCAGCGCCAGGCTGCGGAGGAAGCCACGATGTTCCGTAAACACAGAGACATAAGCACAGCGCGCCAGCCCTGCCAGTGTCCTGCACACGTGTGCACGCACAGTGGCCCTCGTCTCTTGCTTCATTTCCCATGACACAGGATTTGGGAAAAATCTCATCTGATCAGCCAATGAAGCATTTGAACCACAGGGTTATTATTAGCTTGATCAGCCATGGTTGTTAGAAACACTGAGTATTTTGGGCTTGGAAGGCAAAAACAAGGTCCCTCTCTGCTTGAAATTTTGATGTGTTTTGGCCTCTCTCTGTCTCAGTTCTAGGCTGAGAGAACAATGCCTGAGGTTTAAGGCCTCCAGGGCCTCTTTCTCCTTGGATACCTTGTGGATCTGGGTCTGTAAATTTGGAGGGGTGGCACTCTCTGGAATGTCCAGGTTTCTGATGCCAGTTTGGGGGCCAAAATAGAAAATACCCTATTGATTCTTGCAGCCAGGTCCCTTCCTTCATCCATGATGACTTCTCCCCCTTGTTTATTTCTTGTCATTTTTATAACATCAATTGCAAGTGGCACTTACTCACTGTGCTGATATAAATTTGGAGTTGGTGGGCATTTTTGGACCCAGCCCAATCCCACTGGGGTTTTTGAGTGAGGAGGCATTTTTTGCTCCCCAACTCTTGTGGTCTGGCGTGTGGGGAGGCTGTGTGTGTGTGTGTGGGGGGGGGGTCGGCAGTTTGGATATGTCAAACTGCAAATTCTTCTCACCTGTGAAAACATGACTGGCTTGCCCTGGTGGCTCTGAAGCTCAACCCCAGCAGCCAAGGGGAACTTGATCTCCTAACATGGCTTTCTTCTTGCTGGAGTCTCCTTCTGTGTGTCATCATGCATTGGAGTCAGAGCACCCACGTGCAGTCAAGCTGCCCATGTGTGGGTAACAGGCGGTGTGATCTGTTTGGGAAGGTACCGCCAAGGTTTTCCAAAGGCTGTGGGTTCCAGTGCTGCTTCTCCTTGAGGGGTTCTGCTTGAGGGGGACTTCCATCCCCCCAGCACAGTGAAATACTGGGTATGGTTTCCCAGAGAGTGTTCAGACAACCTTCCTGTGGCTGGGTGAAGATTTAACCATCGCCTGCCTATGTTCTAGTGGATTGTAACAGAATGTCCTTTCTTCTGATGTGCAGGGTTCTTGTGGGTGCACCAAAGGCGGATTCCAAGTACAGCACTTCAGTGAAATCCCCTGGGGCTGTGTTTAAGTGCCGCGTCCATACCAACCCTGACCGGAGATGCACCGAACTGGACATGGCTCGAGGTGGGTGGACACTGATGCCAAGGTGCTTCTGAATCCTTAGACTTTCCTGTTTTTCCCTGGGCAACCTGATTGTTCACCCACTCTTCCTCCCACTCATCACCCACCCATCCGTTCATTATGTTATTGATGACCTATTACTTACTAAGTACTGGGATACACTGCCATCCTGAGCCTTACAAATGAGTGGACAACAGAGACATTAAAATAAATAATTGAGAATGAGAAGACTGGAAGATGGTGGGTATTTTGTCAGTACATGATTGGAAAGATGCACGGTAGTTGGCTGGGCAGGCCCGGGAGGCAGAAGCTCTGCTCAGAGGAGAGTGAGTAGTGTTTAAGGTGCTGAGTGAGGACAGTGTAGCTGGAGTGGTGAGCAGGAGACAGTGGAAGCAGAGGAGGTGGTGGGTGGGTTGGGGCTGGATCACACAGGGCCCTGCAGGCCAGGTAAGACATTTGGATTTTACTCTGTATAAAGGAAGAGGCCACTGGAGCCAATTTTAGAATTCAGATTTCAAGCAGGGAAAGATGATCACTTTGGAACAACTCACTTTGGTCTATTGGCAAATGTACCGCCTTTGGAATAAGATGGTTCTGCCTGGATCAGTTACCAGTTGGAACCTATAAAAAAATTCTTAAAAACTTGTTGGACTCAGTTTCCTCACCTGTGTAATCAGGACCAAGATACCTACCTCACAAGGATTACCTTGAGAGAGAATACAGGTAAATACACAGGATGGTGGCATTTGCAGGGATTCCATAACTAGGAGCTGTTTTATTTTATTCATCCCTCAAGTCTTTACTTTCTCCAAAATTCTTTCTCATTAAGATCTTCTAACTACCATTTTTTAAAATGTGGAAATAATGATTTTCTCTCGCAGGAACTGTGTCCACACTGTTCTCTCATGCTGCTCAGAATGACTGGGCTATAAACTGTTTAATGGCACATAGCAAATTAAGAATCTTGCTTCAGAATATAAATCAGTGCGTTTGCTTCCTTCATCAAGAATTAGTCCTGCTATGGAAAAAATTTTGACTAAAATAAATAATATACATAGTGACGGTGCTGATTTACATTTTGTCGCAAGTTCCTTATTTTCTGAAGGGTCTGTACACACAACGCAGGCTGTACATTTCCCACTGACAAACAGCCAGCAGAATGTCGTCCCCAACCCAAATCTGTCTTTTCTCTTTTTCCTCCAGGGAAGAATCGGGGCATGTCCTGTGGAAAGACCTGCCGGGAAGACCGGGATGATGAGTGGATGGGTGTGAGCCTGGCCCGGCAGCCCGCAGCGGATGGCCGAGTGCTGGTAAACCCTGTGGGAGTGCCACAGGGCGGGGGTGGCACTGTGACAGTGAGTGACAGTGATTCCCTTCGGAAGCTGGATGACGTGGTGACAAGGGCATGGGCTTGAAGTTGCCTTTTCTGGATGACTGCTTGGACAGATGACTCCTCTTTTTATTTTCTTCCTTAATAATATCTGTTCTAGGGGGCCTCCCCGGTGGGGCAGAGGTTGAGTGCTGGGTTGCGAAGCTGCCCGCAGCCTCTGCAGCGCCGGTTCGATCCCCGGCTGCTCCCTGGCCACCGGAGGAGGGTCCCACATGGCGTGCAGACCTCTCCTGCCGCCCACTGCTCCCCTCAGCAGTGTACTTTGGTCCTTCTGCCTGCTCTGCTCCCCGCTCTGGCTCTGGTGAATTCTCTCACCCTCCCATGCTTCTGGCTGTACCCAGTGCTTGTATAAATAAATAAATAAACAAATCTTTAAAAAAAAAAAGAATTAAAAAAAATAATAATATCTGTTCTAGGGTGCTAAGATATGATTGTTGAGAAAAGGACAAAATGCGTGTGAAAGTGATTTGTAAAATCTCACCCATTAGGATTTTTTGGTTTGTAGCTTTTTAAGTTGAGATGTAACTTACTTAAAATGCACAGATCTTCAGATTAGTGTGGGTTTTGACAATTGTACACAATTATGGAGTTCTTCTATCCTCCCCAAAAGTTCTCTTACATTGCTTTCTAGTCAACTCCTCTCTCCCCCAGGCAATCACTCTAAAAACTTGTATCACCATGGATGACATTTGCTTTTCTAGACCTTCCTATGAATGAAATCCTCAAGTGTGTGCTCTCTCATGCCAGTCTTCTTCCCCTCAAAATAATATTTTTGAGACTAATTCCTGTTGTGAGTGTCAGTAGTGCATTGCTGTTTCATCCTACGTGGTATCATAGTTGACGAAATACATGTTTTTTAGGCAGTCGTTTACTTGGCTCTGAAAGTGGCTATGGTGTATTCTGTTCCACTGGGTGGTTTGAGGGAGCTGCAAAGAAAAAGGTTTTTGCTCTGAGGTTTGGAATATCTTACATTATTGCACTATCCAGTAAGGCAGCCGCCAGCCCCGTGTAGTTATTTAAATTTGTCAACATCAAATTTAAAATTCAGTTCTTCAGTCACATTAGCCCTGTTTCAAGTGCTCAAGAGCACATGTGACTGCAGTACAGAAAAAAAGCATTACCATCATTCTAGAATGTCTTATTGGACTCAACAGTCAAGGAATGCCTAATGGCCTCAGCAGTCTTGCTTTGTTCATTTTTTTCCCCTTTTTTTAATGTCTCTGTTGAGCTATGACACTGAAGTACAACAAGTCAGTGAATGGTTGATGAATTCTTTTCATGACACACTCATGCGCCCCCATTAACACCCTAGATGTTTCCCTTGTGTTCTCCCTGCTGAGATGACCAGTATTCTGACTTCATAGGTCTTTGTTACAATTGGCTTTTCATGAATACTGTAGTAAGATCAAGAAGGGGGAAAATTACTAGCTGTTATTTATTAGAGACTTCCTTTGGCCTATATGCTATGTCCATAAGGCTTTCCTTATGGATCAATGCAAAATGTTTCTCTCCCCTCACGGAGGAGTCCACTTCTGGTTAAACTTCTTCCTAGAAGAAGCTGTTAATCTGAATCCTGCCTGCCTTCTCAGCATGAATTAAACATCTCCCCCTTGTCGGCCCCTTCAGGGGGAGAGAGAAAGCAGCTGGATGCTGTCGCCAGGATTGTGGGGCCTCTCTGCTGGAAAGCATTGTAGGTTCTCTTGAGGGACACCAACCCTGCTCTTTGCCTTGGTTTCCATTCCTTAAATCACTGTCACAGGCTACCCTGGGCCCTTTCCAAGCCTCTCCATGATCCAGATGTAGTGGCTTGACTCTGACTGGACGACTCAGTCCCAGGGGGGCCAGGATATTGTCCACCCTGCTCTGGAAGGGAGGGAAGTGGCTGACCATCTATAAATCAAGGGTGGCCTGTGGTTGAGATTCAGAACAGAAAGGGCAGCCTGGTGGCAACACTTGCAGGATGTCTCTGGCAGCATGGACCCTACAGCCAGAGGCTGCTCCTGGGGGTTTATCTCCTGTCCCCATGGAATGATCATTTCTGTGTAGCTGATAGCTGGTTTCCAGAGGGTGCTGCATTGCTGCAAATCACTATCAGAAAGGGGCCTTCTGGGGGAGCAGCAATGAGGCTCATGGGGATGGCTTCGCAGAGGGAGCCGAGAAGGCAGAGCTGGAGCATCTGGGGTGATGGTGCTGTGATCACCTCATTTGGACTCGTTGCACACACAGCTCTTTTCTCTTGTTTTACAAAATGATGGCTGTCCATTGCACCAGCCACTCTGTGGGTGCTGGAGGAAGATGGGGGCATCCAGCAACATCTGCCTTTTCTCATGACTTTTAAAAATGTTGTGATCAGAGACCCATCCCAGGAAATCCACCGTCTTCTCCATTACTTGTCCAGTACAGTAGCATCAGCTGCAGGCACAGTGTTGTTCTCAAGTGCTCGGACTTCTTCATCTTGCAAAACCAAAACTATGTCCATTGAACAATAGCCCTGCCCCCTATCCTCCAGCTCCTGGCAACTTTCTTGTTCTAACAGTTTGACTGCTTTAGAGTTCTCATATAGGAGGAATTGTCTTTTTGTGGCAGATTCATTTTATTTCACTTGGTATAATGTCCAGGCTTCACCCATGTTACAGCATATGACAGGATTTTCTTCTTTTTCAAGACTGACTTCTGTTTCATTGTGTGCATATACCATATTTTCTTTGCATGATAGACATAATCCTCAAGATCCTGTGTTCACCTCTTTTCTGTACCTATCCAGAAAGGGGTTTGCTCAATCTTATGGTAGTTATAATTTTACTTTTTCGAAACCTCCAAACTGTTTTCCACAGCAGCTGTATCATTTTACAGCCCCTCCAACAGTGTGCCAGGAACAGTTCCAACTTCTCCATATTCTCACTGCATTCATTTTCTGTCTTTTGTTTGTTTTTATAGTGACCATCCTATTGGGGGGTGAGGTGACATATTGTTAGGGTTTTGGTTTGCATTTCCCTGAGGACTGGTGATGGTGAGCATCTTTGTATGTGTCGGTTCTTCATCGGGGTATCTTCTTGCAGAAATGTCTATTCAAGTCCTTTGCCCATTTTTAAACTGGATTATTTCTTGTTGCTGAGTTATCCTCATGAGGTTTTACATGTATGCTGTCTGACTAGGCAAGGCTTGTCCTAAGTCCCCTCTGTCTTCCCTGGTTTAGACTTTGTCTCCTTCGTGAAGCCAGTCATTGGTGACAGGGGATCTGGAAGAAGCTTAGCCATGTCTTGTGTTGGTAGGACCACTGCTTTGTGCTAATACCTTATATGGATAATGCATTTGTGTCCCATTTTTATGAAAGTCACTTTGGCAGATCTTTTCCCTTTATAACTCTCGGTGCCTGAAGAAGATCTCTCTCAGAAATAGTGTCTAAAAGTGTGTTTGAATAATACAGGGGCTGAGTGTCAGTGTTAAAACAGTTAGAAAGCAACTCAGTTGTCATATCTTCTTGGTTGCTGAGTTTAAGTAGTTGATGGCAGGAAACACAAGGCAAAATGCTATGAAATTCCTCTTGGAAATGACAGGTGACAGCAAGGCATGGTGGCCTAGTTCACATTCACAATTTGGAGGCTTTGTATTCATTTGTTTTTTCTTAAATGTCTCAAATCTACCTCTCAGAGCTTTCTGGGAGACAAGTATTTGTTTTAAAATTAAAAACAGGAAGATGTATGTTTCAAACATGTATTGAGAACTTGGCAGGTGCCTGCGGTTGTGGGTGTAAGAGACCTGTGTTTCCAAGGAACATAATTGGATTCCGAGGTTGTGTTGGAAGAGGGAAAGGTTCGGTGTTTTGTTTTGTTTTTTAATGTCATCTGGTGCTGATTTCAAAGTCAGGAGCGAATGGAGGAGAATTGGGAAGTGGGACAGGGAGTTTGGTGTCTCAGTGACAAATGGCATTTTCTGAACCACAGATTCAGCAACCAGCTCTGGCTAGACCCAGGATGTGGGGCTGGGCTGGCAGGCTGACCTCGGCCTAGTCAGTCAGTCTGTTGTAGTGGCTTCTAGTTTTTCCCAGGGAAGGGATAAGGGTGTAAAGGCAGCAGGTCCCTTCCTTTCTCACACTGTCACCCTGCAGGTGACATGCCTGGTGTGCAGGCACCACACACCCGGGCACTGATTGTTCTCTTGGACCTGGGAGGGCAACTCATAATGTTCAGTTGATATTTCTGCTTTTCATCAGTGTGGCCAAGGCTCAGACAACGACGAATTGAATGTCATCTTTATTTCTAGGTGGAAGCTATATTATCCATCTTTTTTTTTTTTTTATCACTTTGCCATTTCCTTTCCCAACATCAGGACAGTCCTTATCTGTTTCCCGTTTCTCATCAGTCCCCTGTTCAAAGCCACAGAGTGCAATTTTGCATTCATTTCTCTTGCTCTGTTTCCTGATTTTTTTTTTTAGTGAACTTTTTATGGTGCTGTAACACACATGCAAGAGTGGACAGATCCTCTGTGTACATCTTCATTAGCTGAATATTCTCAGAACAACTTTCCCAGCACTGCAGAAGTTCCTACTTTCTGCCTCCCTGGCCACTCCCACCTCCCTTGGTGGGGGAACTTCTTGGGTGGGGGAGTCTGTCACATCAGTTCCCTGCCTCCGTACTGTTCTCAGTGGTGGGGGAACTTCTTGGGTAGGGGAGTCTGTCACATCAGTTCCCTGCCTCCGTACTGTTCTCAGTGGCGAGGGTTTGGTCCTAATTGTGTGGGGTGGACCTGAGGCGAGGTAAGCGCTCTGGCTTTCTCCCAGGTGCATGTGCTTATAAGAGGGTGGGGGGCAAACTTAAGCACCTGACCACCTCAGTCCCTATCCCCCCAGGAAGGATGTGCTGTTTCCATTTTTGAAATAAATTGCTTGTTTTCATCCTATTTTTATTCATTTGGGAGGAAAAACAGTCCTTGTAACTTGAAATATATGTTTCTACTCTTTGGGCTGGAGCTAGACCCTCCTTGCCTTTCTTACGGTTATTAGAATCAGAGCTTGATCAAGTCCTGCTGTTTCCAGGAAAGGCTCTGCCCCCTTCCCCAAAACTCATTTGAGACATTGATAATTAGTAAGGTTTTGGAGACAGTCCCTCAGCATTTTTTTTTTTTTTTAATGTAAGGGTCAGATTGACATGTGGGTGTATAGAATGGTAATAAGGTCTAAAATACATTGTTTTCTTTCTGTAATTTGTCTTCAGAGGCTCTTTTCCTTGTTTTTGTGCATGATTCTGCTTTTGACACTTAGATCTCTGACCTCCGAGGATGCCTTAACTTTCACTTAGTTGACTATGGAATGCAATATTGAATCTCCTAGGAATTCTTCAGAATTACTCCTTAAATAGTTTATGACACTTTAAAACAACAAGGAGACAATAAAATAGACATTAAATGTAGAAATCCCTTCCTTTATAAGAGTCAGGGTGTCCTGTGATGAACTTCCACCTCTTTTTATGGTCCCTCCAAACCAAATACAATAAAACATGAAAGTCTTAGGGGCTGAGGGCATTGCTGAATCCATAAACTAAAATGAACTATCTTGCCAGCTAACTATTTGGTAATTAGTAATAATAATTAGATGATAACAAGTGTGCAGAACTCAAATTTTCTTTAAAAAAATCAGTTATATATAGTCGTATGGAGTGATATGACTGCTCCGTAATACATTTTTCTAGCTCCATGCCCCCATCATTTCAGTCTCTTGAGAAACATGCACCAAACAGTTCACTTTTAGACAGGAAATGAAGGTGGTTTGAGGAGTACAGGCAAGCTCAGGTTCTCAGTCTTTCTGAGTATCCTCCTTTGTCTTTGCATAGAGAGTGGCTTTGCCCAGGGTCCTGTGGGTGTTTGATGGGAAGGGGCAAAGAGCTGAGGCTGGCAGGCAGTGATTTTTATCATGGAATGATAGCTACCCTGAGCCCCCCACTCAGTGACCCCTCCCTTCCTGTATCTAGTGGTTCCCTGAGGTCATCAGCTCTACCTCCAGCATGCATCCCGAAGCCACCCCCTTCTATCCTCTCCACTACCCCTGGCCTAGCCCAGGCGCCTGGATGTTCATCTTCACCCTTGCCCACCTACTGTCTCCATAGCAGCTGAATTCTCTTTCCAAATTGCAAATCAGGTCAAGCCAGTTGCCTATGTGAGACTCCCCATCAGCTTCCTGTTGTGTGTCCACTGAAATAATAGTCATCCCAAGGTCTCCCAGACCCCTGTGGCCTGTACCTTCTCCCCACCAGAATCACTCCAGACCATTCCACCAGTCTCCTTTATTCCTCTTGACTCTCCAAGCCTTTCATGTGCTTCCTTTGCAGCTGCTACTCCTTCCGGAACACTCTTCCCTGTCTCCTCAGTATGGCTGACCTCCTCACCCTTCCGGCCCTTCCACTCCCAGATTCTTTACTCCCTAACTCTGTGCTTGCTGTCTAGGTGCTCAGCACTAGCTACAGTCCTCACTTGTTTCCATGTTTGTTTATGGAGTCTTCCTAGTAGCCTCCTGGGGGCTTGTTACTACACATTTTTTTCTAATGCTCAAAAAAGGACCTAGTGAAAGATGGGGTTGCTGGAAGGGAAGTGTGTTAGGCCCCTCTGTTCCTCAATCCTGCAGAACCACCTCGTACTTTGGGGGTATGGTTGTGAGCTCTTGGGGCTGAGTTTTCTGCTCTGAACCTTTTTGTCCTGCAGGCCTGTGCCCATCGCTGGAAGAACATCTACTATGAAACTGACCACATCTTGCCCCACGGCTTCTGTTACATCATCCCGTCCAACCTCCAGGCCAAAGGCAGGACGCTGATCCCTTGCTATGAAGGTGAGTGCTATTGTTTCTCACTCGCCCCCTACCCAGATAGTGCCCTAAACACTCCCCACCCATCTCTGTTCCACCATTTCCCCCAATTTCCAAACTCTAACAGGAGGGTGGAAGAGTGTGCCCTCTTGGTTGGCCTCTTAGAATCTGCCCAATGAGAAGGGGGCAGTGGTCCCAGGCCCTGCCCAGCTGTGCTGTCTCTGCCACATAGCTCACAGTGCTTCCCAAGTTTTACAAAGTCTTGAAGGTGGAAATCCACCAAACCTCAGCTGAAAGGTCAAGCAGAACCTTTGGTTTCCTTGCATAACCAAGTGCTGTGCAGCCTTGGGAAACTTGCTTTCCCTCTCTCCACCACAGTTTCCTCACCTGAAAATGTAAGGGTTGGCTCAGGTGGTTTCCACATTCCTGTGCAGCTCCTAGATGGTCATAAGGCTCTTGTGACAGCTCCTGGTTATCATACGTGAAGACAGACATCCTGAGGCAGGAGAAAGAGAAGACCTGAGACCTAGTGGTTGCATGCATGCCAAGTCTGACCTTCCTTCTCAGCTGTGCATGCGCCCTGACAGACACCTGAGAACTGGGCATGCCCCGAGCACGGTTTTAAGAGCTCCTCACCCAGGGCAGTAAGGGTTTTTGAAGAAAAATTTATTTCCTCAGGCTCCCTGCTTAAAACCTTCCAATACTAGGGCACTGGGCATGTCTGAGCCAATCGCTCTTCAGCCTGGTCAGACTTGAGCTTTGAGCATTCAGCATCATTTTCTTCAGCTGTGTGTGTCTACACTCTGGATTCTTAGCCTGTGTCGAGTGAGCTAGAACCTGTTTACTCTCTAAGTGCTGTGCTATTTATATTTTAATCTCCCTCCCTCAGTTTGTTTGTTTAGACAGGACCTACGGGAGCCTTTGTCCACATTTCCTTTGGGCCTTCCTGGGGTTTTCTTGGGTTTCAAATTTTATGGCCACCAAGGAGAAATGCTGTCTGGACATCTGCATTTTTCTGTCTCATGGAATTGCTTCAAGGGGACTCAGAAGGCCTGGGGTGTTCTGTGAAATCGTCCCAAGGAGAACCAGCCGGGCCCACAGAAGGCATAAACCCCCCTCTCCTAAGACAGCAGGTCTCCCCACCCCAGACCCCTCTCTCTGGTCTGGTTGGGCCATGTGTGGAGGTGGAACTCTAGCCTTGTGTGTGCAGATTGCCAAAGCCAGAGGGAAAGCTGGAAAAAGGGGATAATGTAATCAGCTGGGAAGGAGGGATAGGAAATGTAAAACTCACAAATAATGGGTGAAGAATGTGTTCTGACTGCCTGCTAATTGCTCCCTTTTCCCCAGGCAGAGAAGGAAAAAGACCCTGGAGCCTGTCCTTGGGGAGCGGTCAGACTGGGGAGAAGTGAGAGGAACACTAGGGGGTGAGGCAGTGAGGGCTGAACCCAGCCCAGTGAAGCAGTGTACCACGCTTGGGTTTTCCCAGGAGACATGTTGTCAAACAGGGACATGCGACTGTCGGCATCAGAAAGCAGCAGGACAGCGCTGTGAAGGGGCGCCTGAGAGGCCGTCTGCGTGGACCTCCCACCTCCCTGGCTCACACCTTCACTCATCTGTAATTAATCCATTGCGTTGTCTGGTTTTGGTGTGAGGACCTGCATTCTCACTGAATCTTCACAAGGCCCCAGAAAAATAGGTATTTTCTTCACTTGGGTTTGAATGCAAGTAGTTGATTTTGGAACTTATTCAGGAGACACCAGCAGGGGAGTAGGAAGGCGAGGAAGGACATGGCAAGTTACCACGAGGCCATGGCGGGGTCCAATCTCAGGGGACCCCTGGGGTCAGCTGAGAACACACCCCTCAGAATTTTCTTGCCTGAGGGGTGTGAACTGGATCTTAATCCACTTGACCTTCTGTCCTGCCACATAGGTGGGCAGGGACGCTCCCAAGCAGAAAGATGTAGGTACTGGTAAGTGGCAGTGGCGCCGAGCCTCGGAAGTTCTAACAGCCGTGGAGAGAGGAATGGGCCCCCAGGGTGGCCTACTGAGCTGCTCTTCTGTGACAGCGAGCAGTTAGGGCTCAGTTTAATTGCCAAAGGTCACTCATACAGTAGATGGTAGGGCTGGGTTTTGAATTTTGTGTCTGGCTGACCTCGGCCAACCATTTTGTGCCCTTGTGGTTAGTGGTGGTTTCTGTTTAAATGAGAACTAGTCATATACAATGTTGCGAGCCAATGCAATGCATGCATGTATGTGTACACACATACATACCTAAGGATTACAAGAAAGCTAGCTGGCAACGCTCACAAGAGAGGATGACTGTTTGAATTATCCCAAAGGTTTAATCAGGAGACAGAGGGAACATGGACTTTTGGATGTCGCTGCTCTCAAAAGGAAGCCCTCCATGCCTGCCCCTGCCCCTGCCCTGCGGGCTATTCTGGCATGGTGCTTGGCAGCATGTGGACATCTGTGTATGGCAGGGAGAGCAGCAGCGGTGCCATGTGACAGGCTGGGTTCAGGTCTGCTTGGGTTCATATCCCTCACTCACAGTAGTGTGAGCTCTGGCTCAGGCTTAGGAGAGAGGGTATTTTCACTGTCCCCTCGGGATGCTTCAAACATGACCACAGAACATGTCCCTTGTGGCTTCTGGTTCCAGAAGAGATGTGTGGAACAGGCTTGAACTGAACCTGCAGCCATAGCCCAGTTAGATCAGCCAAACCCCAGCCCATCTGGGAGGTCTGAGAAATTAATGCTTGCTCTTGTTTGCCATGGAGACTTCCTGGGTGTTGTTCAGTGATAGCTGACTGATGCTGGACCCATCTCAGGAACCCAGATTCCTCACATAACACAGGCTGTGGGATGGATGCAGCCTCCAAGATTGCTCTTTTCTGTGATTATTTCTTGACTTAATGATGACCGAACGGAGTACCCAAATGGTGCCACTGCCCCAAGCTCCTTCCTCATGGGTACAAGCACTTTTATGTCCTCACTAATTCATTGGCACAGGGTGGAGTAAGGGGTGGGACATGTCAGACATAAGTGGAGCCCCTTAGAACAATGGGGACCTACACAGAAAGTTTTTGTAGTTCTTGGTCCCATAAGGGGGAAGGGACAGATGCTAAGATTTTTCTAGAAGACTGAACTGGCTGGGTGGGGGATGCTGGCCATAGTTAGAGATCCCTTGTCTGTGTTCTGTTGGCTTTGGTGAGTTCCACTTCTCTGTGTCTGGTCTGAACTAGATCTACTTTCACCTTAACAGCAATTGTTATTTTTCTTTTTCTTTCTTTTTTTGTTTTTTAAAGATTGATTGATTGATTGATTTATATAAGCACTGGGTACAGTCAGAAGTGCGGGAGGGTGAGAGAATTCAGCAGAGCCAGAGCGGAGAGCGGAACAGGTAGACTGATCAAGTACACTGCTGAGGGGAGCAGTGGGTGGCAGGAGAGGTAAGCACAACATGTGGGACCCTCACCCGGCGGCCGGGGATCAAACCGGCGCTGCAGAGGCTGCTGGCAGCTTCGTAGCCCAGGGCACAACCGCTGTGCCACTGGGGAGGCCCAACTGTTATTTTTCTTAAGTGGAAAAAAGCTCTGTTCCAGGGAGGGATCACATCATGATTTAATACAATGAAGTATTTTAGAGTTTGACAGACCTTTAAGATGTCACCTAGACTGTCCTCATGTCTTTTTTTTTTTTTTAAGATTTATTTATTTATGCATACAAGCCATAGATGCAGGGGGTGAGAGACAGAGCGCGGAACAGAACAAGTGGATCTACTGATACACACTGCTGAGGGGAGCAGCAGGCAAGACAGGAGAGGTCTGCTGTGCCATGTGGGTAGCTACCTGGCTGGCGGGAATCGAACTGGTGCTGCAGAGGCTGTGGACAGCTTCATAGTGCTGTGCCTAACCCTTTGTGCCACCAGGGAGGCCCTGTCCTCCTGTCTTTATTGAGGGTCAGAGATAAGCTGCAGCTTGCTCCCCTTTATTCCATCATTTGCATGCCATCCAGTGGAGAGGCGGAGACCGTGATGGCTAAGAACACAGACTCAACCGAGACTGCCAGGGATCAAGTTCTGGCTATGCCACTTGTTAGTGGTATGACCCAAATGAGTTATTTAACCTTTGTGTGCCTAACTTACCTTGGGGGGCTGTGAAGAGCATGAAGCACTTGATACTTGTAAGTTCTCAGGACAGTACCTTCTAATATACTGTATGATAATGCCCTCTGAGGTAAGCAAGTGACTAATTTGTCTCCAGGAATACTGTCCACTTAATCCTATTAAGTGCCTGGTAGATAAAACACAAGAGACCTAGTTTCAGCTCTTAGGAAGTTCCCCATCTACAGGGGAAAAGAAAGGGAATGTGTTGTTTTAAAAAGTGGGAGATGCCAGTGTGGACTGCTGGGCACCTCTCCTGAGGTCTCAAGCTCTGTCCACTCTCAAGGTGTGTTAAGACAGGATGATTTAATTTTACTGAGACCCACATAGACTGCAGCCTGTTGGGGCCCCAGGAAGAGAGGATGTGGAGTCCACTGTTGGGCATATGGTGGGTGCAGGGGAAGGATGGGACAGACCTGCCTCTGAGTGTGTGCTACCTGTAGACTAGCAAAAATGTGGGGGGCTCGGTTGAGGTCCACTCTTCCTCACTCCTACCCTGTGGTCTCCAGCCTGTCATTGACCCTCAGCAGGGAGGGACGCTGTGATGCTGCCGCTGAGGTTTATTGTGAGGTGTTTGCCAGAAAACCCAGGTGAAAGTGCCCAGAGAAACCACACATTGTTCTGTGATTGTGGCCTTTCCAGGGGTCTCCATTGTGGGTCAGCTCCATGTCATTACAATGTGGGAAGATTTGATTCATTGAGGACGGTCTCTAAATATAAGGACACCTGTTCAAAGTCTCAAACTTGTGAATTCTTTTTTTTTTTTAAAGATTTATTTATTTATACAGGCACTGGGTACAATCAGAAGCGTGGGAGGGTGAGAGGATTTGCCAGAGCGGGGAGCAGAACAGTCAGACTGACGAAGT